TGAAACTAAAGCTCATACGAGTAAAAGCCCATAATTATAGATCTGTAAGTCAAAAGCAACAAGTCTTTTTTTATCAATGTAAAGTTGGACAAGACTAAACTTTCAATTATTTAGTTTTTCATCGTAGCCCACTACTGCTGTATATGTGAACTTCGATTTTCTTTTCATATTCTACATTCTTTATGCGTTTTTTTTTCTAATTTACACAATGTTAGATCTTCATAACTATCTGTATGCAATGATACTGAGGTAACAGAGATAAAATATATTCATTAGAAAATTGTAAAAATTCAAAACAAATATTAGTAATCGTATTAATATCAAACTAACAATAACATTCAAAAATTTATTTATGAATATTCCCTTTTTTTTAATGCCACTAATTATACATTCAACTATTTTGTTTATGTTTCATTACTTTCTAATATCCAAACTTATACATACTCATTCAAACTAACTACCACGGACAAAATTAACGCAACACGTATTTTTGATAGACATTTTCATTGACGGTCGACGACGAAAAATATAAGTTTTTCAGAAATATTTTTCGTCTATAGAACTTTGTAGAGCTCGTTTCGCTGATCATTTTGGCAAAGAAAAATATTCAAATTTACTCGATAAATAACGAACCTTGGCTCAGAATACTCAAAAATATCACCTACTACTCAGCAGTGGTCACGAACAGTCCTAGTTTTTGAGTATTTTGACTCTAATGCCATTATTTATTGAGTAAATTTGCATATTTTTTTTTTACCAAAATGATCAGCGAAATGAGCTCTACAAAGTTCTATAGACGAAAAAGAATTCTGAAAACCTTGTATTTTTCGTGGTTGACCATTAATGAAAATATCTATCAAAAATACGTGTTGCGTTAATTTTGTCCGTGGTAGTAAGATTAATAATATGTGTTTAACGCTGTCAAATCATTCTCATCATTGTCGAGGACAATCATTGTTGCACTAAATAAGCTGAGTTTTAGTTTCTGGCTCCATACATTTTTCAAGGCTTCGAACATTTTGTTCGTTTCTCAAGATCAATCTATCTCTATACTTTCGTGCTCCATCTAATATTCTTTGGAAATTAATGAAATAACTTGACCAACTTCGAAATAGAAACGCAATTCTATTTTTGTCCACTGTTCCGATTTTTGTTTCTTATAAATAAAATCAAAAAAACAGCAGAATCACGAGAGACATTTTTGTCATTTATATTTAGGTTGCTCTGAATGAACAATATCAACTGCATCAATAATCCAATACTCATCCTATCTATTCCAAAACATATTCTGTCCGAGAATTCTCTTTTTCGAGTGTACTTTATTAAAGTCATTTTTCTTTCAGTGAAAGACTCGACATGAAAATCTTACTACCGTAGATGATTCAACATTAATTTTTGACTTCTATGCATTTCAAAAAGAAAAAAAAACTTTTGCACATATGCATCAGCATATCCTATTATCGAGCAATAACTAACTCGGATATTTGATGAACGAAACAATGACCCATCTACAGTCGAATCCGCTTATAAGAGCGCTGTCGGGAACTCTAAAAGAGGCTCTTATATGCGGACCGCTCCTTTATCCGAACTATATGTAAAACAGTGCAAAAATTGATTCCTGTCAACATTTAATAAGTAGTACATAAGCATACATAAATTTACTTGAAGAAATCCGTAATTTTACTTTGAGTACGATAAATGAAAGCGTTTTTTTCGATCATGTCTTCGATATCATAATATGAATTATACTCTGTATAATTCTCTTCCAAATACTTGCGAACCATCGAAAGATGCATCAGCTCATCTTTATGAGAGACACGTGGCATCAGTTCATGAACAATTCCGGCTTCTTTTTCTTCTTCTAAATCGACCGTTTCTTCTCGATTTTTTTTCACCGAATCGTAAATTTCGGCATCCGTGAGATTTGCAAAACATTCGGCATCCTTATTGCAGTCGACGAACGCCTCGAAATCTTCTTCTTGTATGGCTTCGCCGAATTCTGACACAACCCAAAACCTTCTGTATTTCGTCCATGTCACTAATGGCGTCACTAACAAAAAACCCGGCTTTTCGAAAACAGTTTTCGATCGTAGTGGGCGAAACGAGAAACCAAGCTCGCTTGAGCACATGCAACGCTTTTAAAATATCGACAGATTTCACATAATCGATTACCGAAAGATGAAAGTGAATACGTATAGAAAGTTCATTTTATTGCAAGCTTTCGTCACAAACATGTGTCATCATCAGGCAAAGAACAGACAATTCTACAAGTTTTCGAGCAACTATCGAAATTCTTCTTTATGATTCATCGTTCTATTTCGATTCGAGATCCAATCGACGAACCATAGTTGTTAATTGCTCCCTTATGAGATCCATTCAAAAGGTAGTACTTTTGAATGGATGTGGTAGCCAACAATCTTGTCTGCCACAGAGCAGACATCCATTTCAAAAAGCGATATGGCTCTTTTATGCGGACTCAAATCGCAAAAAGGTGCCGAAACTACGCTCTTATAAGCTGGCCGCTCCCGTATCCGAGGCTCTTTTAAGCGGACTTTGCCAGCACACAAAACAATGGAGAAAAAAACGGGAAATTTAAAAACGTCTCTTACAGGCGGATCGCTCCGTTATCCGGAGCTCTTATAAGTGGACTCGACTGTATTTTACATTTCAATATATTCCCATCATTAAACGAAAATTTCATCATTCACACATTTCGGATACTATCAGTTTGCTACTTGTCATTAGTTCATCGGCATCCTATTAAAGGCACGATGACACGAAGATCCCAAAATTTATATAATTTTTTTTTTTGGTTGTAGCATGTTGCTCTGGTAAATCGACGTTTCCACCAACTCGCATGTTTTCGTCATCGCAACATGTATTCCATCAGAGATGATCATTTACCTCTTGTAAGTTGTAATAAGCAGTTTTCCTCGTCAGTATGTAGAGCGCGAAATTTCTTTTCTCCTTATGGAAATCATGTAAGAAAGACAGAACGAATGTTGTGCCCAACACAGCACCGAGAGGTAAATCATCAGCTCTGATCAATTACATGTTGCGATGACGAAAATGTGCGAGTTGATGCCAATATTGACTTGCCAGAGCAACATATTTATTCAAGCTCCTTTGTATAAAGAAACTTCGCAAATAAACCTATATGGCTTGGTGTATTTGGATAGTCTGATAATGAAATAAATACAAACACTTGATGATGGAAGTAGTGCGATAAAGCATAGGGTTCAAAAATGGAGATTGACGTCTGTCGCTTTGAATGGAACATGGTTATCATTTAGTATCTTTGATATAAACGATCATTGAGTTATGATCTAAGTAATCATTCATGAATCGAAGTTCAAGTTTTCATCTGAATGTTGTAAAAAAAAGAAAGTTTAGTTAGTATGGGATAACTTAGAAGGTATAGGTATGAGAAATGAAGATGTCGAAGTAGACTATAAAGATTTCACAAATCTAGGAAGTGCTACTGTATGAAAAAACTTCTATGAACTATATTAATGTTAAGTTACTGAACTTTTTTGTTACAGTATTAACTTGGATTCAATTATGCTGAAGTGTATATAGGCGAACATATTGTTGTTTCATAAAGACTTCTTTTTGAGTAAACTTCTACACAGAATTGTGATAAACAAATTTGGTTTTTTAACTTATATCAGAAAGCTATATGGAAAGAATTCCTCTCATTAAGACACCGTCTTTGGTAATCTATAACAGCAACCAATTAGCTTTGTGATAGACGTCAGTACAATCCTGAAAAAGCAGCATTTTTTGTGTTTATCGCAATTAGTGGAACCATTTTGGTCTCGGTCATATTATCGATGAAGAAATGTATTTCACTTTGCTATGAGTCTTCTTTTCAGTTCAAAGTTTCGAAACTGTCCATGATGAAATCTAGAGTATTCCACAAAAATGAAATGTTTTCGTATTTTAGCTTATAGAAACATCTGGAAAATAATTGTTAAAATGCAGATGTCACATATGCAGATTAGTTGTGAAAACGAAAATCTATAATCAGACAAAGTATTCAAACTACATCGTGTATGATGTTTTCAAGAACATTTCGTAATTGAGAGAATTGTCTATTGCACTTATTAGTGATCATTTTCTAAACTTATTAGACTCAGACATATATGAAATATAACTCTCATTAATAAGGAATAGGATGTGGGTGTGAGTGTGAGGGTGTCCTTCAAGTCAAAAGGAACACCCTCACCACTCACACTCTCCAGCTAAACAAAATAGACAGCTTTCATTTTTAGAAATGCGGACAGAAATATGATTGAACAGATAAATTGACTTTCACATTATTTTTCCTTGTAAATATTGAACTTTCAACATGGAACTTGAGATATGGATATATTTACCCAATAAAAAAGCATCGATCAGCAATGCAGTATATGCTTAAATTTTCTATTGACACGCTGATCAAAAGGAGAAAGTAAATTCCCACGATAATAGCAATCAGAAGTCTATGGTTCACTTTATGAGTACGCTCTAAGATAAAGAAAACAACGAAACTTTGCTCTATATCTAAAGCAACACTTTTCTTTAACAACAGGCTTCATATGATTCAGTTAGGTAGCTGCACATTACTATTTCTATGTTACCTTATCTTTCATAATATTTTGCAAAGATGATAACGGTTTTAACATTTTCTTATCGTCAAATATTCATCTAGGTGAAACAAATACAGAAAAACATTTGTTGAAAATGATCTTTAAAATAGAAATTATTTTGATCTTGGGTTGTTTAGTAAGTCTCAGCGCAATGTGAACCTTTTAGCTATCCAGACAATGAAACTCTTGATTTGAAAAGTGATGGTTATCAATATATTCGTGCTAAATACCCGTTATGTATCGGCCTTGTATCGAGAATTATGGTTCTTTACTTTGTATGACTCATTAATAGATGTAGGATTTTTTGTTGGTTACAGCGTTTCAGATCCATCAAAATCGCTTCATTCAGAAATGTCTGGGATATCTAGAATGCTCTGGACTTCAGTAGCAAACAATACCGGTCAAGATTCAATAGCTATTTTAGATGCATATACATTCGAACAATTGTCTGCTTACAAACATAATGCAACACTTTTTATTGACAAAGACACTTTTATCAAGGTTTTAGATCAAACAACGTATCAATTAGTTGGTGGACGTAAAGAGGGTCAATTACGTTGGTGAATAACATTTCAACAAAAATCTTATGCCTGCAGACAAAAAGAAGGAATATCTCTATTGTTAGAGTTAGATTGGATAGCCTATATACCAAGTGCTTACGTATCTGGATTTATCCAATATAATAACAAAAAAATTTCTATTAATACTACCGCTTATCATGATCATAATTATGGAGCTTGACCTAAAAATCTTTTTGATTGGGTTTGGGCACAGTTCCATCGTTTTGATAAGGAATTTTCATTGATTTTAGGTAGCTATCATATACCTACAATCGAAGATGATTACATTTGATATATATTTATTTTTTGGAAAGGTCAACGAATTGAAACTGGAACTCTATGTGGAGATCGATATCATTTGAAACTACTAGAATGGCAAATTGTCGATAGTAAAATATATTCTATTCATATTAAATTTGAAGCATGGAATCAACAATATAAAATTGATATCGAATACAAAGCACTAGTAAACAATGATAATCCAGGTGGTCGTGGTTTAGGTTTAAAAGTTTTTGAACAAATTTCTCACTACGAAGCTGTTTTATATGGTAAACGGGAAGAAAATTGACTCATTATAGGACAAGACTTAACCGGGCATGGCTTTAGTGAATGAAGTCACGCATAACTTTGACTTAATTTATTTTTAAAGCAAAATATTGAAAGCAAATAAAATGAATTACACAGAAATTATTGCCAAGAAAAAAGAGAATTCAACAGTTTTTATTTATAGATATTCATGGAAAGCGTATAAGTAACAATATTTAAATAGACTGATAAATTGTTCCAATGGCATTAAAAATGATTCTTACATCAACAGAAGATCCAAATATCTTATATACTTCAAAGCTCGTCTAATGCATGGAACATATTTTCCAACGTATATTTTTTATTAGAATTGAAATTAGTGAAAAGATAGAAAAGACGAAGAAAAACAGCTGGATGAAAGTTTGAAAGAAGAATACTGGAAAGTTAATCGTATTCACTGACATTGATAATGACTGATAGTCTTGTTTGATTTTTAGTATTGAGTTGCTTTTGTTTAATATTACCTACGAAGAAAAAAGTCAGACGAGATCATCAAATATAGAATCAAATAAAACTAAAAACAAATATAAAAAATCGTAGAAGAAACATCAAAACGTTCTGGCGAGCAGTTACAATTGAAACAATGTACTTACTGAACATCTTTGTTTTTTTTTGGGATGAATATTTTTACCACAAGCAAACCAACTATTAGGACGAGCAATACTAACACGACAACCATTACGATGACGATCAAAACCATCATCAGTAGTAGTAACAGCACCACTAGAACTACAATCACAACGGTACTGACGAGCAAAAGGCCAGCTATTACGACAATAAACACAATGACCAATATCGGAATCATTATATTATCGCAACACTCAGAAACATCGTTACACAGATCACCAATAGGAATACAATTACGTTTCTTATCAGGTTGGGTGGAATCTTTCTTTCCGCGTACAGTGCAATACGATGCCAAAAATACCACAATGAATATAACATACATCACTAACTTGATACTTCTCATCTTGTTGCTTTGAATAAATTTTGATAAATGTCTGCTGCTACTGTGATTTTTGTACAGATATCAAGAAGTTATAGAAAAGAATAGATTTTTCCTTTCATTCACGATATCCAAGAAATTGGAAGCAGTTTGTTTTGAAAGATACTTGAACAACATCGAATAATCTAATGTGTTATTATCGAAAAGCAAATTATTCTTTTTCTCTTTCTGCGGATAGATTTAATGTCACCTACAGACGTATATTCCCTAGTATACTAGAAAAAACTGATTAAAAATAATGACACAACCATAATGGGATCCTTTGTCCTTAATAATAACATAACGATTTGGACCAGCAGTAAGTGCATTAGCAACAGCGAGAAAAAAAGCGAAATTCGCATCGTCAAGTTAGAACTTCATACATTTCAGTGAGGCTTTTCCTTTCAATAACATCGTATATGAAGTTCTTTCTCGCAACAAAACACATCATTTTTCTTGCCGATATTGTCCAGTTGTGCATAGAACAAAAAGGAATTTCAGGTTTTTACTCATCGTATATTTTTCTGCTGTTATATCTCAACGCTTATAAATAGATTCATCTTTATTCTAACAAACAGTCACCACTACACGGCTTCTGAACCATATATTCACCTTTAAATTAAACATAAAATATAGTTCGACGTCCACTTAATTGGAATGAAAGAGTATAGATCATGAAACAAATGCATAGACTTGAATGTATGATTCAAGTTCAAAGACTGTTTCAAGAAAATGGAGATCAGCCATCTTTCTTGATCAATAATAAACGACTCAATTAACAAATTTGAGCAGAATAGCTCGATACTGGAAACTATTTCATCTAGCTAACAAATATTACGTAATTATCAGTCAAACCACAAAAGATGAAGTTAATCCTTTATTTTAACAAAACAATCACAAGTATCAAGTCTTTCTGTGAGTTCATGGATGAACATCTTAAGAAGCTCGATTCGATACTTTTATAAGCTTGTGGTCTTCAAATCATACATTTCAAGATTGATTCTCTCACTGATTGAAAATGAGGTAAATCTTGTCAATTGTGCCATTTGGTTTTATGAAACCACATTTTAACCAAACGATTAGATTAATCGTCATAACAAAGTAAAGAGAATGCAAATATTAGATGGTAGTGTTCAATGCAAATCGAAATTATCCTAAAATGCCTAATGATTCTTTCTCTTCTGTGTTTCATGATTTATCACATAACGACTCATTTTTTCTTATACAAGATGACACATCAACACATTATGCTCTCTATATTCGAGAGAAAGAAAATATTTGCAAGCCTCTATCACGTGTAAAAATTTCCGCTTGTTTGGTAGACATCTGTCGGAGATATTTAAATTTCTTATCACTAATTTATTTGTGATACCCTTATACATCTATTTATTTAGCTTCAGTATTTATTCATATATACTGGCATAGTTATCTGTCTCAGTTTTTATTTTTGTATAATTCATAATTCGCTTCTTATACATTTAAATCAAATCCACGTTTGACCCGAATATGTTTTATCCTTCTAATGATAAGGAATTTTCAGATAATATTGTTTTTTAATTCATTGAAAATGTCTCTACATAAAAACTGATCTATTTCATAATACTCTGAAATACATATTCGTCGCGATTGCGAAATAGTATATGACTTGCACAAAACGATATAATCATATTTTGTCCTATTACGAACCCTTTTATCTTTTTCTTTCACTTCGAAACATGCATTGCATAGGAGTGACATAATTGCATTTCTATATAAATGCAGTCTCCTATCTCGCAATTTGTCGCCACATATTTCTGTTGTTTTTTTATAAATGGAAATTCCCACAAAGACCAACTAAACGATATGACAGCAGTTGATGAAGGTTGTATTGTACATGATCGAAAATATCTTTCAAAATTTCATGGAGCAATTAATCAACTTCGTCGAACAAATCAATTTAACCGTTTCACTCTAAAACTATTACCAAAACGATGCTGTTCGTGTCAAGTAAAAACCGGTTAGTAATATTGTTTTATTCTTTGTGAGACAAAAAACTAAAGTTATTTTTAGTCAATGAAAAGATTTCGAAAATTAACTTAAAAAATTAAAATATTCATGGTTAATATTATTTTTTTAGGAGAATCTTCATTTAACGTCGATCATTTACGAAAACTTTGTCAAGAAATTGAGGCATCACAAAAAGAACCACAGATGATACCGAAACTTGTAAAACCTATCAATTACATAATACTTGAATTCCCTTTGACCTTCGACCTTATTCAACGTACTTATAAAATGTGTCGCTTTGTTGGACGACATGGTGCAAATCTGAAGCTTCTTGAACGTAAATTAAATGTTCGTATTAACATAATTAATCACAAAACCCGAAAAGGTTTACGTACAATAGTCAATCAAGTTCAAGTACAAAATGAACACAATCATATAGATAGTCTCTGGGTAGTGATTACCAATGAGAATAGCAATGGTAATCCAAATAATATGGAAAATGTTAAACAGACATTACAAGATGACTGGAAGAAACTCGATAGTACTATAAAGAATCGACCGGCAAAAATTATATCTTCTGCATTAGCAATACTATCATCAGCAGATATATCTGGAGATGCTCGTTGGAAATAATGGTCTGGTCTTCGTCAAAGATGTTTTCAATTGAATAGATTTATTTCGATTTAGTTTGTCATAATTCATTTGTGGAACTAATAGAAAAGATGAGAAGATCTTCTAGAATATAATTCTTCAAAATTTTATGTTCGAACAATTTTATGATTTTTTTTTTAAATAAATATGTTTATAGAACCAATAACTGTCTACTATTTTCTTTTATTAAGTGTCGAATTATTTAATTACTTTAAATTTCCAAGAAAAATCAACTAAACTATCTTATTATATATTGTTGTTAGTTCATTCCTTGCACAATTTATTTCTCAACAAAACACAAACAAACAGACTATGTCTCAAGTATCTATATTAGTTTGTTTAAAACGAAGAAAACCATGTCTAATCATACTGTTCAATATGATAGAAATATGTACACGGAAAGAACAAATTTAGGTCATACAAATCTTTAGCTAAATAAATAGTTTTGATTTATATTAACTTTTTATCAATGATAAAACTCAAATAGAACCTTTGTTTAAATAGATAGAAGAAGATTTTTTTAATTGAGTCTAGATTTTAACATATTTTACATAGATGAGATGAGAGACGAATTTTATTGTTATTGTGTTGGATTTTTAAGAATTTCATAGATTTAATTCAATTAAGTAAATACATAGAGGAGTATAGCAATAAACAAGGAAGTGTATTAATTAATGCTCTTGATGTTGCTCATCATGGAATTTAATATGTAATTTAAAACCAAAGTCAATTAAATTTAATTCAAAGAAAAAAAAAGAAACAGTCTTAATATGTTTTTAATTTCTTTAGTAATCAAGAATAAAATCATGAAATTGAGATCGAATCATTATCATAAGGTATTCATCGAACAGGAATATTTGTTTGTTTGTCTATCATTCTGGATAATAATTCAAATTTGAAATTGTCAATCTATATATATATATATAGATAGATAAATCTTTTTTTTTTCTTTTTAAAGCGAAATCAATTATAAAAATTCTACATTGAATATAGTAAAGAAGGACATTTATTATCAATATAATATGATTTTCTTCTTCAATTTCATCATCATAATGATTATAATCAATTGACATATATACGTGATAATGAAAAAGTTAGATTAGTTTAGTGTTTTATTTTCTAATAAGTATTTTTTCATAAAATAATATGATTTATTTTTGTTTATTGTAAATAAATAAAGGATAGTTTCGACTAATTCCTTGGTCTCTTGATGATTCATTTATAATAATAAGTGTTGATTTTGGTGAATTTATTATACGATCGGATCCATATAAATATCAACGTTTATCTCACCTTTTTATATTCATATAAGGCTGTTTCCATGGAGTGTCGCCAGTGGATTCAGCGGCCACGTCCTAATTCAGCAAAACTTTCTCAGTTTGTAGAGTTTTTTTGTGCTGATCATTTTAGTTATAAAATTTTTAAATTTCATCGCCATTTTTAGAAAGATATCGATCAAATACTATTCATACATTTTATCTATTTTTTAATAAATTCAAGTCACAATTTTATCGAAAGACCAATCACGGTGTGGGAGCGGGTGTAACGAAAAAGAAGATCTCCACCCTGCACTCACACCAAATTTTGGAAATGAAGAACTGTCAAAACTATTTTAGATGACAAGTTTTCATCAAATTCTATTGAATATATATCAGTAAGATCTAATTAGATGGCTTGCTAACCATTTGAAAATTCACTGAAATTTGAAAGAACTTGTTGATCTGATCATATTGGTACTAAATTATCCAATGTTCGATTCTAATTTAAATATATTTCTAGCTGAAATAAATACTATAGTGCTAAGACCTTTTTTTCTGAAAAATGTATTGTTTCTTTTATGCTTTATAATTAGAACAACATAACATACACTGATCTTATTTGACTTGTTGTTTTGTCAAAATAGAATCGAACATTGAATAATTTAGTATCAATTTAATCAGATCAACACGTTCTTTCAAATTTCAGGGAATTTTGAAATGATTAACAAGCCATCTAATTAGATCTTATCGATATATATTCACTAGAATTTGATGAAACCTTGTCATCTAAAATAGTTTTGAGAGTCCTTCATTTCAAAATCAAAGGTGTGGAGAAAACTAATTAGTGCATATTATAGAGCAAGTTCTGATATATCAAACTGGTAACTCCACTAGTCTTGTTCGTTCCAACTTTCTGATCGACTTTTGCGTACACGCTTCATCTACATGGTGAATCAGGGAGCTCTATAAAAAAAAGGTCAAAATTTTTTAAATTCCTATGGATTCTGGTGCAGTTTTTCAATAGGAATCTAAATATGTAATTTGTTTTTCGATAAAATTATGAC